CATTCTAAGCCAGAGTAAAGTTTACTTTTTAAAAACTTCCTTACTTGCATAGCCTTGCTCAAACATATCAATTGTCTTCCTACTTTAAAATGAGTAGAATTTTATTGCTATACTGAACTTGGCTCTTAATTTCTGTATTTCATGGAGTTATTCTTCTTTTCCTAAATTGTCAATCCTTTAACCTCTTTAAGCAACTGTAATCTTTTACAATCTAACCCAATGGTGCATGGGCATGGGTTGTGCTAAGTCATCACTAAAAAAAACGAAGGTGGGTACTCGCTATTACATTCAGATTCATCATCTTTTTAAGTTATCGAGTTGACTCTAGAAGCTTAAGACACACGTCTTTTGAATGCTGTTTTCACAAAGTTACTAATATTTTGGATTTCTCGTCCTGTACAAATATAGCATAGCTTGCTTTGAGAATGTTATTGTCAATTTTGGACTAATTTTACCAGTATCAAACTTCTCAAGTCACATTAGAAATCTTTTTAACAAGCAACTTTTAAAAATTTTCGACAAGGCAGCATGTGTGGCACAAATCTACGATGCGTATTTGACTCAAATGGTATGGCAAGCATAGAAAGAGAAAATCTGCATGGAAACTGCGCTACTTTTAAATATTCTTTTTATCTAATTATCTGTGTCATTGGTTTTTTTTTTCTTTCAACCCATCGCTTTTTAACTTAATTTTGAGCTTCAAAATATTCTTTGCATACCAATAGCCTTCTAAAGATCGTTTAAGAAACCACATAGGGTTAGATTTTCTCAGTTTCTTTTCCAAATTAAAAAAAAAGATTGATGTTGTAACTTCAGGTGATTACATAACTCATAATTTTTTTTTTCTTCTGGGCTGAAATGGCTCGCAGTTCCCATCCCTGGCTCCTTTTTACCAGCCTTCATTAACATCTCTGTTTCATCAGCGTCCACAGGTAGTGAGTAGGTTTTGAACACTTTGTAAAAGGATCCAACGTTTTATTTAGTTGATGGAGAAATAAATAAAAGGACAAAAATGCAAAGAATGGTGTATTTGAAAAAATCACCGAGTCAATTGCGCTTTGTCGCCAATTTACGCGTCAAATTTAAGAGATATCTTTTTCCGACTGCACACTGTCGCCATTGTCTAAATAAAAGTAAAAAAAAAAATACTCGATTCTCATTTCACGGACAATTACCTCGGCTACATGAATAATGTGATAAATATAGTATCAAGAGGCCGGCGAAACTTCAAGAAAAATATTTATCGGAACTTGAGTTAGATTTTTCTCACTTTTCTTTCACTGAGACTACTGCAAACTTCCTTCACTATCAAGCGAATTCCCGCGGCTCATTTAGCAATTGATTAAAAAGGAACTATTAGTGCTTAAAAAATTCTAAGATATACCGTGATCACATGCAAAAAGCCTTTAGTATTGGTTGTTTATCCTTTACAAATGATGACAGGAGCTATAATGCCTGCTTGTTAATAGACGGCGGAAAAAAAGTTAGGTTTAGAATTTACTCGCAGGATTTCTATGAAAGGAAAAAAAACTGTTTTAAATTTAAGTTACACTTTCAGGATTCATGATTAAAAGCGTCCATGACGTTATGGCAAGGTGTAAACTTGCGTTCAACGCTTTCAAACCCTTTGAGTCGAATATCAGTTTCCTGCTTAAGTTAAAAGCAGCCAATTTGTATTCTAGTTTGAGCGATTAACTGAAAAGCAACAAATTACAATATCGTCAGTTGCTTTCTACCATAATCATCATGATCTCTGATGAAGAATCTCGTTTGGTGCTTCTATCATTTCCATTTAAATATTGATCCTTTAGAAAATGTGACCCGTACACCTTGCTGTTTTGTGTTTCGTTGATCTCTTTTGATAACGCTCTGCCAAGCAGAAAGACAACAATTCCAAAAGGAAAACGACCTTCAATTGCGTCTAATCGCAACTCAGCTGGACGGCGTTTTGTTTATCAGGACTTACGTTAAATGTCTGGTGTAATTATTCCAAGCAATTCCCAGGCATCTGACAAAGGGCCGAGATACGCTTTTAAAAGCGCACCACGAGCGGAAAGGGGCTGACTATATTGGTAGTGTTTTGTTTTCAAAACAATGAATTAAGCAAGTGAGAATCAGCTTATCTCGATCAGCCGCATCCCCTGGGCGGCTTCAGGGTGTTTTTGCCTCTGTATCGTCCGATTCGGACCGGAGAAGAGTATTACAAATCGTACTTCCGATTCATTAGCGGCAGCCCTCTAAAGTCTCTTGAAACAACCTTTTTTTCTTTTTCTTACGAAGAATCATGTCACGTTTCTGCGCTCATTAGCTAAAAGCGTGGGGCGGAATACCTAATGGGACGTTGGAACACACAAATTTTAGGTGGCTATCATTGTCAATCTTGCAAATACGCCTTCCTTTCATAACATCGTATGTGGGCACTTTCCTCGGAAAAAATATTGCACTCTTCGTATTTTTAATCAAATGATTTCTATCAAAGAATAGTTTCAGCATAAGGAGGAGAGCAAATCCCACATAAGATCTTCTTTGATGCACATGTCTATGAAAGAATGATTCATCCAGTGGTTGTTGCTAGGCAACCTTACATTTAAATTGATTAATCGCACCACTTCGCGTGAATGTCATCCTTATCAAGATTATCAGCATGCGCCCTGCTGGCAAACGACCACAGAAAATTGAAAAGGGATAATTTGAATTCAATAAAAGTAATTACTTTCAGCTTTTCTGAAAATTTAGGCTATACAAAAAGCATCGAGTTACAAAAGAAAAATATCGCCCAATCCCTACACGTTTAAGTAAAGGTGCTTGCTCAGAAAACAAGCTTAATAGCTTTCGTGATGCCTTACTTATAAACAATATTGAAATTGCTAAGATAACGTATTAAATTAAGAAAACGAGAGGGAAAACAATAGTCCTGGCCACAATACACACTCACTGAGGTACGATATTGTGACCATTTGCGATAAAAATTCACAAATTTTTAAGGTCAGACACTTTTCATGCCTTTTCCCGCCCTTTTTGTAACTTCCTCCTATAAAAATCCTGTTTTAAATTTCGGCCTATATTAAACAAATGACATAGATAAATTAGCCATTATATGTTTAGAGGAGTTGGCAGCTTTTCGCGATTTACCCGTCAATAAAATTAGTTTTAGCAAAAAAAAGAGTTATGAATACTTAACAGCTGCCGGATTGAATAAGTTTCAGTAAATAATCATGGAACGGTCTTAAAACCTTCTCAAATTTGATAATTATAAACAATTTGGGTATCAGTGGTAAGCTAAGTACTTAGTCAAACTTGCGAGAAGATTCCATTCATGTAATTTCTAGAAAAAAATAGGAACTCTAGTTTTGTCTGGTAGTAAATCGCTGTATGTCCTCGCCAACCATTTGCTGAGGAACTTAAAGTCAACAAGTTTTAATAGAGCTTTTAATTCCTAGCGCCACTTCTATTGTTGGTTGTTCTTTTGGGCGCTAATGACTATCTATGTGCCCGTTTAGCCCTGTTTGCCATTGGTTTACAAAAGCAGGCTTTTTTAACGTTTTTTTAGCTGTGTGACACGTGGAGAAGAAGCATCCTTATTCAATTTGGTTTTATCAACACTAAAAGCAATTCGCTGCTTAACTCAGGCAGCGGGTTACCAGTTTATCACACACAGTTATCTCTTCCACTCAAAAGTGTACTCCATTCGTCTTAAAATATCGCTTAGCGCGCAGGCAAATGTTTTCCATTAACCTAAAATTTCCTGTTTTACCAACGATAAGCAGATAGTTCAATGTCAAATTGCGGCTTTTATTTATTCATGGCCTCCGCTAAGTGCAAACAGTCCAATATTAAGCTCGCGTGAAACATGAGTTATTATAGCCCGGGCAAACATGTTGTAAATCTACTTCGAAAACCATCACCGCGTTTTTCTAACTTCTGCATGCAATTTGATCTCCACAGAAGTGAATTTCCTACTTGTCCGAGGTGAAATTGTGGGCTTCGCCCTATCCCGAGCGAATAATGATACCATTAAAAATGTGTCTTAAACATCACTTTTACCATGAATATTTAATTGTCTTTGTTGATTGCTTGATAGGCGAATTTCCTTGTTTTTCTCGATTTCGTTGTCGACCTTCCTACGAAGGACGTTCACTTTCCTTTTTAGCCAATATCATTTAGTATTTGCAGTTTTAACCATTTCTCCTTTCGATTCTAAAAAAAATCATGGAACCTACCCCCGGAGTTTGCTTTTCTCCCGTGACGAAACCCAAAGGGGATCAGTGACTTTCTAACATCAAATTCACCTGTTTAAAATGCCATGCGGTTAAGAAAAGTAAATCGCTTTTAAATGGCAGATTCAGTGATGCTAATTTAGCGAGGATGAGACGAGAAATAAGGCCGTCGGTCGCAATTTCCTGGACGACCAAATGGAGGTTTTTCTCCAAAAAATTACTTGTTTTAAAATTCTCCGTTAGCTGGTAGAAATTTGAATGCTCTGTATTATTAACTTTGATCGAGGAAATTACAACTTTGCTGTTATGCTAAGATGCATTGTCGTTCACACTTTGCTCACTCTTTAGGCAGTCTGATAAAGCCTTTTCCTTTTATCTCCAGATAAAAGCATTAATGGGCGAGAGCTCTCCGGTCTGTTCACAATTCCAGATAACGATTACGAATTACTGCTCCGTTCCTTGTTATGGTAAATCCATAACTCCTTTGTGAATAGTACCTAAACGCCATTTTCTCACCTTTCGAAAGCTCAATAAAAGGAATGATTAAGTTTTACTAGGAGTAAAGTAATTCATTAACACTTTCGGGGCATCGCAGCGTCGCTTGTCAGATCGTTTCCTTAAATGAGCAACCAAAGGTACACATTTCCTTTTCCAATCGTTCTGTCAGGCTTTCTCGAAACTTGATAAGTTTGATTACAACTGTTATATTTTAAGAGAAAACAAAGTTTTGAACTAGTTTAAAGTTGGCAGCGTTTCAAAGGCAATGAGAACTCTCTCTTCGTGTGCAATTTACAAACTCTTTCTTTTATTGTAAATATTTGACTACAATTTAGCACGTATTTTACAGTCTGGACCCACAAACTCTAAATTCATTAACCTTTTTTGTTCTTGAGAGTTTGAAATAATCAACTACAAATGCTTCTCAGCGAAAAGATCGTTGGGTCGTTAATGGCCCCTACTTCGCTTCTTCACCGCAATTACACTAGTTATTGGAATCCTTCGAATTCGAACAAATTTGCGAATATGTTATTTAATATACAAAATTTACATCATTCGCTGCGGATCCAAAGCAAATTGGATGTCTTTCGATCTCCACTCTGCGTTAAATATTCCGTGCAATAACTAAAGTGGTTCATCTCTTAGCCCTAATCGCTTTTAGTGTTGTATAAATAGGTGTAAATAACAACTGTAAACACTCCATGGTGCTTGACAACTACGACTCTTCAGTTCAAGCTTTCTCGTTTCGAAACGCTCAATGAAAACCAGATTGAATGAGGGGAATAGAATTTTTTGATGAAATTTCCTTACTTAGTGACGACAACTATATCCGGCTGAAGTGCTTTCCGCTCTCAGCAAAGGTATCCCCGTTGGATGCTCTAGAGTTACGATATTAAACTGGGTATCAAACAAATGATTTTTGTATTATACTTAGATTGCCTAGATTTTGAAGTAAAAAATCTTAAGTGTCTGTAAGCAAGGTATTGCTTTGTCCACTCTAGTCTGCGGTACGTTTATTTCGATGTGAAGAGAAAGAAGTCATTTCGCGTTTACGTTATTGTTCTTTCTTTCCAGTAATAGACCCGTTAAAGCAAAGAAGACATCGGCGATGGTCTTAGATGAGGAGGAAGAAATTGTGAATAGTGCTGTGGATACTGAGCTAAACCTGGATATGAAGGATGGTAAAATGAGTACGGAGCATGTGTTGATAGTTCGCTGGGGCGACTTTGTTCTCTGTACAGAATAGGAACACGTACCATCCGTTGATGACTCGCTTGAGCTAAACTTGCTGCCTCCATCTCGGCAGCAAGTTGCCTCTTCCATTTGTTCCGCCGGTTCTGAAACCATATCTTAACTTGCGTTTCTGTGAGGTGAAGTTGGGAGGCCAAGCCAGCTCGTTCCGATGAGGAAAGATACCTTTTTATATCAAACGTCGACTCCAGTTGATACACTTGACTTCGTGAGAACACCGTTCTTGTCTTCTTCTTTCTTCGTTTCTTGTTAATATCTTTCTTGTCACCTTCAGAGGATTGGTCGTCCTTTTCCAATGAATCTGTAAGAGAATTTCACATGAATTTCTGCTGCAGATCGAGGTTTTAGATCACCCTCATTCGAGCCCAAAAAGGGCTCGTTTACAAGTGCTATTACTCCGTCTACAACCCGAATACCGGAAGCGCGCATGTTGCTAGTTACTAACCTTCTACAGACGCTCTGCTCCAGTCATCAAAGTCATACTCTAGTCTTCTATTCAGATGCGAAGGGCTTGAATCAGGCCGGTGGATTTCGCAACCTTCTTTATTCGTATGTTCAGCGCGCTGTCTGTCATAAGTTCCTCCCGCATCATTCGATGTTTCCAACTCTTTCCTCCCGTGACTTTCCCTTGAACTGCCGTTGTTCAAAATGTTGGAAATCGAAAACGGGTTCGATCGAGTCTTCTCCTCCATATTTAAACACAGTTCCGCCTGAATGTGTCGCAACGAAGATAACTCAAGACTGAAGTAGTATATATTTCTTAAGCTTCAGAAATGGCAAACAAAGATCGTTTGTGTACGCCTGAATGCATTGGGGCATGCGAGGCGACAATTTAAGTCAGTGATAATGATCAAGAATAAAAATGTCAAACTTGTTAAACGTCTGACATGTAAATGCGCGTCTGTGATTGGTCCAGGGTGACGACTAATGGAACCACGAGAAAGCTCGAATAATCATCTCCTCCCCCTCGTATACAAAAGCCCAGGAAAACTGATAAGAGTTGTTTGTGATTGGCTTTTGGCTGCTATCAATTAGTCCAAGACACGTTGTCATTCTAAAAGTGTTCATGTTTTGTCTTTTTCAATTGGCTGGGGGATAACAATTCGACAATTACCTCCTTGGTGTCGAACTACAATCGTGAAAGGCTTTTCTGTTAAAGGCATTCTTAGTTAAAGTGGACCATTTGTTGCTCCATGTCATAAACGGAACGTTTAGCTGTGCGGTTAAGGATTTGATTGGCCTCACGCCTACTTAAAACAAACATTCATCACGCCCCACCAACGATGTATCACACTTCATACGCCGAGATTTAAAAATCAAACTGTCGTCAAAGGAAATCTCTCGAGCTGACTCCACGACTTTGAGAGACCACGCGAAAACTTGCAGTCTCCTAACATCGCGCTAACGTGAGAGTTAGCAGTTTGAATTTACATAACACGTTCTGTCGAAAAGATGTGAACGATAAGGCATGAAATAATTAAGAGCACCAGGGAGCTTTTAACGAGAGTTTCGGGCGATAAGAGAGTGCCACGCAAGAAGTAGGTGATAAGGAGTGTCGCGAAAGAAATCCTACGAGGCGCTGCTAATGGTCTTCTGCCATTTGAGGTTGTTTCCACTCAAACGTTTTTGATGACTTGTTGATTGGCCTAAGTGACCACAGCTGGAAAATTTCATGAGATGCTAATGAGGTAAAAAGCAATTGGGTGATTGCATTCTGGCCCAACTTGTTTCGCCTAAGCAATATTAAGTCATTATTTCTTGACAGAAGAAGTGACATGATTGATGAATTGAAGATTGAAGATCTCAAACACCAATTCAAAGCCGACGCTAATCAATAGCCCTACCTGCTCTATTTAGCATAAACGAAAAAAAACATTTTCAACACCTTCTCGAAAAAAATCCTAACCTGTGTTTGTGAAAGCCCTCGGGATAGCCATTCATAAATCTTTTTTCACAAAGAAGGGGACATTGAATGGGTCTCAATAGCGAAAAGTATAAATGACAATTCCTTTAACCGTATTTGAGTTATAAGAATTCGATCCGCGAAAGCTGAGAAGATCCAATATTATTTTTTAATTCCTTCCTTTTCACAGATAAATGGGAAGGTAAACAATGAAAAATAATCTCAAGACCCATTAAGACCACGTATTAGAGTAACTATCTCTTATATTTATAGCCCCATAAGGTAATATCAGAAATCTATTTACTTAAAAAGAGGATAATCTCTAGAAGGCTCAGTGAATCGCTTCATTCTCGTCGTCGCTTTTGTTTAAAAAACTATCAAGGTGCAATCAGCGAGCATTTAGTAAGCACGGCAGGATTTCGTAAATTTCTCAGTCATTTGTAAGATTTCGTGACGTTTTGCCTGACAAAACGCACAGAAGAAAGGAAATTGATTTCAAGAGAAAATACACCTTTGTCTGATCTAGACAAATAAGTAGAGTTTCCGAGGACTTGAATAGAATATGTTTTGTAATTTGCAAATTGATGTGGATATTCATTTTTCCTGCCTCCTTAATCCGCAACTTATTAGACTTGAATCGACGAAGCTTTCAAAGACAATTTCTCCCAAAAAAGGTTGAAAATTGACTTTGTGGAGCCATTTGTGTGGGCAATATTTTTTTTTATCAAAACGGCGAGAATAGCAATAAAATTTTTGCCCAGAGCGCAATTTGTGTGAGAACAAGTAAATAAATAAATATTTTCCTCCAAAGCTTAGTCAATTTGAACTATCGAGAATTATATTTACCGAAGGAGGGGCACGAGGGACTATCAACAAATACATCACTTAATAGGTTTTTAGTGGCTTCGACAAGCTGTAGCAAACCGTTGGTTTTACGGTCAGTTTATGACTCCTTTGTGGGCTTTTACAGCAATTAATTGTGAATAGGAATGAATATGCCCATTCACAGGAAATTTCTTCTCTTAGTTACCCACTTTAACAGAGGGGTTTGATCGCGATGGTGGTTTCCCCGTTTCCGATAGGGCATGAACTTCGTCAAATTTCTCAGTGATTAAAAACGAAAATATATACGACAATTCTTGAGTATTATTTGAAGAGATTGATAGTCGCAGTGAGAGGAGGCTTGAGCACCTTACGGAAATGATTGAAGTTGTGTCTTCATCTCAAGAAATTAAATTGGATTTAGAAGTGTTTTTCACTTTACTCTCATTTCTTTCAATAAATCGCCCATTTTCATTCGGTTGATAAATCTTTATTTTGATAGAAGAGATTTGAACTTGGGGAGAGTTCTAGATCTTATTTCGTCTATTTAATGCAGTGACACATGCAAATGACGGTGCATTGTGATTAATAGCTCGCTCGACACATTTTTATCATTTTGAGTAATTTCATTGCAAATCAGCCGTCATTAACGAAAGAGTCAAGGCGCCAAACATTCTGGAGTACATAAAAGATAACAACATTGGTTTTATCGACTCGCGTTTAAAATGCTATCCCTTTAGATTGCTTGGCGCTCCACCCCAAAATATAACTAAACACACGATAAATCAATCGTTTGGTCTTGTTCAAAACAAGAACAAAAAGTTCACGGCCAATTTTACGATATTTGTTGGCTTGATTTGCTTTCGGGAGCAAACACTTAACCTAAGTGTTTTTTTTCTCAGTCGTGGCTCGATGGCTGCTCAACATCATGACATCAAAAACGTGTCACTTCTTAGTTAAGGAAGCAATTGTTCGGTTCAACTCTTCAGTACAATTGACTAAACTCTTCAATTAATGGCAATTTAAAGCAAGGGTAGCCTTAATCCTGAGAACTTCGAGCCACCCATTACATGGCTCCATGTCGCAAGGAAGCTGTTAGCCATATATCATCCATTTTACAGGGAGCTATCGCGATACATAAATTTCAGTCAAGTCTAAACCGTAGAAAAGTGACGAACTGCCTCGAGGGCTTGTTTTGACAAGTATTGTTGAAAACCTTTCAAGATATTAATATTTTAAAAGATGGTGATTTGTAAAGTGGTGAAACTTGGTGGCCCGTTCAGCTGCTTTACTCACGCAATCGATGAAAGAAAGCGAGTCCAAGGAAGAAGAAAATTTCGAGTCTGAAGTAAGGTTTCGTTTGTTTATAGTCGCACTAAATTGGACAACAAAGGGTAGTATTCAAATTATTTAACATACACAGTCAAATTTCGTCAACATTCAAGCTTAAAATGGAAAGCAATTAACACTCCGCAGGCTTTATTGCGATCTCTTTGTTCGCGCTTTTGTCTCATGGGCTTTTGTTTAGAGCTTCTGAGCACCCCCGAGGCAAAACTATGAAATTGCTACGAGCAGGAGGTACATAGAAGGTTGTGTCATAACAAGACGTATTGTCGCTACCATAAGAAAGAAAAACACGTTAATTTGACTCTGCGGGCTTTTCCTTTCTACGTTTTTCACAGCACACGGCCAATGAGGTTTCTGTTTACAGTACTCTTTCACGAGGTAATACCTTCAGTGAATATACGATTAAGATTCCATTAAGAGGGTTAGAAGAACAATGTCAAGGCAATTAGAACCTTCGTCTCACTGTTTCGTAGCCCTATTAGGTACCTAACGGCTCATCACGTAGTGTTTTAATGTGAATCCTTTTTTATACAAGTTGCTTTTAATTTGACTGAAAGATGTCTCACTCAAATCATGGTATAAAGCGTGTGGTGAAAAGGGATTAATCCAAAGACGAATGGCGATCGAAACTGCCCAGCGAAACTCGACATTTGCGGCCAAGAGTTAAATGCAGTTTTAGACTTGAACCCACCATTGTCTGCGATACGTTGCCGTTTGAATTTTTATGGGCCTTAGTAGACTATGAATGGGGATTTCAATGACATAACAGGATGCAGAGCACTTAGCTAGCTCCTCCCATCGAGGACTAGCCAAAAGCCAACATCGCTTGAACGAAATTAATCGGCGTAGTGAATGGATAACGATAGATGCGTCTAAATATCTAAAAGCGTCAAAGGCAGCTTAAGTGCCATTCTTATGCTTAGAAGGCGTTTAACAAAAGCACTAAACCCGAGGTGCCTCGAGCAATGATACAAATAAACTTTATAAAGCGCACGCTTTAACTTTGAACAGGAATAAATAGCGCAGCAATTTTAGTCAACAGAGTAAGGTTGCACGAAAATTCACCTTACCATTCTGGCTTTGTGTTTTCAAGAAAAGTTCAAACTGCCGCGGGCGGTTTAGTTAATATGGGGGTTCAAGGCATGAAAACGTTTCAAAAAAGAGTTTCGGACCAGCACTAGTTCGTAACTACCCAATGTCGTTTTGAGAGAAAAGGAAAAATACCTTTCCGGACCTTATATAGTTATCAATTCTCAATGTGGTATTGAAAGTTAGTACGGAGAAATTCGAATTTGGTCATTCTTGACGAATGAACATCCGTTTGGCTCCACATGTTTGTTTTGATCGATTTAACGGTCAATTGCTGTCGAAAAGTCTGATATTGCTCGATTGGTTTCATACTTAGTTTTCATCGGCCGATCCTTCTAGATTTGATGTCCCGTAAAATGAAAAGCTTTTATCCTCCTTGATTACAATGCGCCAAATTAGGTATATAATGTTTCGCACTCTTTTCTATCAAGAGTGTGATATGCTATATTGGACCTATCTTAGAGCTCGTTTCAACATGATGCCAGGTGAGACATATGTGCTAAACTACACTGAAATTTTAGTTAACAAAGAAAGAGATTTTGCTATCAGCGCAGCCTTCGTGGATTTCCTGAATACAACTTAACTTTGATTACCTGTGATATGATTGCAGATTAGATTCACAGAAGTTGTCTTCAACAGGAAACTTGTTAATCTCGGCTTCAAATTAACAATTTTTTATTTGTA